AATGGTTCAGACTTCCAATTTGCTTTTTCCCGGGCCGGGAAAAAGCAAAATGGTTCAGACTTCCAATTTGCTTTTTCCCGGCTCGGGAAAAAGAAAAATGAAACTCCTTCCAATTTGGAAAGCAATCTGTGGGGGGAGATTGCCTTCTCCGGCCTGGAAACAAGCAGCGCCTGTGAGGCTCGAGCCCACGACCTTCTGCTTATGAGCCTGGCGCCGTATCCAGCTCTCTGAAATAATTGCTCTTTTCAGGCTTTGCAAAAGCAACCTGGATGTCCAATTTGCTTTTCCGGCTCAAACTTCCAATTTGCTTTTTCCCGGGCCTGGAAAAAGCAAAATTGGAAGTCTGAACCATTTTGCTTTTTCCAGGCCCGGAAAAAGCAAATTGGGTGTCTGAACCGTTTTGCTTTTTCTTCGCCCGGGAAACAGCAAATTGGAAGTCTGAGCCAGCCCTGGAAAAAGCAAATTGGAAGTCTGAGGTGGGGTGGGGTTTGGCCCTGTCGTCTTTCGCGTCCACAATGCGAACCTTTCGCCATACTTGCGCAGTTTCCCACGACAAAGAATTTTCCAAGGGTCGGGAAAAAGCAATTGGACATGTATCAGACTTCCAATTTGCTTTTTCCTGGGCCCGGGAAAAAGCAAAAGGCTCAGACTTCCAATTTGCTTTTTCCCAGGCCGGGAAAAAGCAAAATGGTTCAGACTTCCAATTTGTTTTTTCTCGGGCAGACTTCCAATTTGCTTTTTCCCGGGCCGGCAAAAAGCAAAATGGTCCAGACTTCCAATTTGCTTTTTCCCGGGCCTGCTCAGACTTCCTATTTTTCTTTTTCCCGGGCCGGGAAAAAGCAAAAGGCTCAGACTTCCAATTTGCTTTTTCCCGGGCCGGGAAAAAGCAAAATGGTTCAGGCTTCCAATTTTTTTCCGGGCCGGGAAAAAGCCAGACTTACAATTTGCTTTTTCCCGGCCCGGGAAAAAGCAAAATGGTTCAGACTTCGAATTTGCTTTTTCCCAGCCCGGGAAAAAGCAAAATGGCTCAGACTTCCATTTTGCCTTTTCCCGGGCCAGGAAAAAGCAAAATGGTTCAGACTTCCAATTAATGGTTCAGACTTCCAATTTGCTTTTTCCCGGCTCGGGAAAAAGAAAAATGAAACTCCTTCCAATTTGGAAAGCAATCTGTGGGGGGGGATTTCCTTCTCCGGCCTGGAAACAAGCAGCGCCTGGAAGATTTGAGTCCTCGACCTTCTGCTTATGAGCCTGGCGCCTTGTCCATTAGGCCACAGCTCTCTGAAAAACTTGCTTTTTTCAGGCTTTCCAAAAGCAACCTGGATGTCCAATTTGCCTGCGCGGCTGAAACTTCCAATTTGCGTTTTCCCGGGCCTGGAAAAAGCAAAAGGTTCAGACGTCGTCCAACCAAGCCATTTTGACTTTGCTGTGTTTTTGGTTGGGCCCAACCCTCCATGAACAAGAGACGGCTCAGTCAGGCCAGTTTGCTCAGACTTCCAATTTGCTTTTTCCCGGCCCGGGAAAAAGCAAAATGGTTCGGACTTCCAATTTGCTTTTTCCCAACCCGGGAAAAAGCAATCGGAAGTCTGAAGAGCAATTGTTCTTGCAGCGTGGCCAGGTCACCAACATGACTTGCGCAGACCTTTCGCAGGACCTTCGCGAACCTTTCGCGACTGCAGTGAGAGCACAATCGAAATCAGCCTTTGAAATTCGATTACTAACAAGGAAGAGGTGGGTTTTTGAACGACGCTCATATAGGGATCTCCACTCTACCCTTATCTCTGCCACTAAAACAAACAGCCACTCCGCAGCCGATCGCACCCGCCTGGAGCACCGATCCGGCTGGACACCAAGGTGTCGTTGAGGTCGAAACTGGCCACCTGACGAGTAACAGGGTCATCGCTACGATGTAGCAAGAAGCAACAGAGGTTGAAGGACCCTAGTTCGACTATCCTGTATACAATATATTATATATTATATATGTACTCCAGTAGGGTCCTAGAAGGTCACTCAACCTGCATCGCTGGTAGTAAGAAGAAGCGAACGTAGCGATGCCCTTGTTCCGACGCAAAACAACGTTTCGACGATGCCCGGCGGAGCTGCGCAGACAAACCGGAGACGAAGACGGTCCTTCGCTCCCCGAGCAACGGTGCGGAATCAGCGGAGGATGCGATCGATTCTGCGCGTCGGAACAAGGGCATCGCTACGTTCGCTTCTTGCTTACTAGCGATGCAGGTTGAGTAATGCACCTGTTCTGAGTAGCGATGCACCTGTTACTAATCAAGCTGTCCATGTGCACTGCTGAAGCACCTCAGCCAGTCCGATGGTCTGCCACCGTGGTCGACGATCGCTTGATACATCGACCCGCAAGACACCACGGGCAACGACATGACCCTCGTACGAATCCCTTTTGGAACACCACAAAGCAGGCTCGATACATCGGATCGACATGACCAGCATCTGGTCACCAATTGAGACCTCTGACCGGCGTCGCTTCCAACCCCATGATTTGTGGAGGGTTTTTTGCGTGGGACCCATTCGTTGATGGTTCGCGTTGCTTTGAGGCTCCCAAGAACGCACCACTTCCCTCCAAAAGCCACGAATCGCTCTGCCCACGTCAGAGCGAACTGTGCCTTCACACTGGCTTTGCATGCGGGATCCTGTCTGTGCCCGGGCAGCTAGAACGGATGAGAGAAACATAGGTGTTGGTGATCTTTCCACTAGGACTGTCAATTGGTCAAAAGTGTTGGAAGCTGAACATAATTAAGATACTTGTGCTGTCAGTCAGTTGCCTGGTTATCGTATTTGTAGACCACCTGCTCCTCCAACAAACAAAGAGTTGTTGCCAAAACAAAGGGCACCGTTGGGTGCACTATTTGTCCAAGTCCGCCGTGACGTGTGCATAGAAGTGGCTTCCTATCAGTTTCTTGTTCTGCAATGCCCGTTGCTCGCAAATCTCCATGGCCTAGAGTGGGTTCGATTCGCCAGTGACGAGATACAAGAACAGACCAACTGAGTTCGTTTTGGGCCGGTTTACTCGGCTTTAGGTCTTATCAAGAATGGCCAGGAAAGAAAAGCAACACAAAAGGTGTGGTGAACTGGGCTGACCCTCACCACGGCTCGCTGATTTATACACAGCTTATACATTAGCACACCACAAAGTGTCGTTAATTCAAAAACTATTCCCAAATAGCGATGCAATCAAACATGTTCAAAAAGACTCTCCCTCACTCTGACCCCCCAAACCCATGGTGAATCACCACGGGCGAATCGCCCCTGCATTCCACGCCTCGCGGAGCAGCAAAGAACGGCCCTGCTGCTTCCAGAGCGGTGCTTTGTGACTGAACATCTCATGGCGATGTGTTGCAACGGTCGTGCATGGTCAAAGCTCCATGGGCATCAGGGGGGTGTCTGCAGCTTTCAGCTATTGAATCCACTATGATTTAAGTGAATGGTTTACCCTCACAGTTCAAGAAACAACTGTAGATCGATGCAACTACAAGGCTAGTTTTTAGTCCACCATGGCCTCAAGAATGCCAACTGAATCTCCATGCTTGCACCTCCCTCAGGCCAGGACAGATTCTTGGCACAATAGCTTTTATATGCTCTTCCTGGTTCTTCAAAGTGACCTTTTGATAACCTGGGTTGAGGTCACAAGCAAGCCTCCTAAGGGTCACTTAGGAACCTTCAAAAGTATTGTCAATAGTTTACTTCAAATCCACTTCAAAGTTGTGGTCATCGGGATCTGCGTCAAAGCTGCAGTGCTGAGCCGGCAGTTTTCTTGCGTAGGAACCCGAAGAAACCAAATTCTTGTGGTGGAGTCGCTCAAGAATTTGGGCTGCTCAAAGCTTTGAGCCAGAAATGGACAGTTCAATGGAGCCAGCATCATTACCAAGATCATCTGGCATGTGCTGGCTAAGCTTCCCTGTCTGTTGACATGATCTTGGAATGGGCCTGAGTTCCTGTCCATCCTTGGCCCCTAAACCGCTCAAGCAGGGCCCCCCCACTCCATCCGCACGGGTTATGGGATAAACCGAGAATCGTCCCTGAAAACAGATTACAAGCGTCTGTGAGGGTTGACTTCTGAGGTCGACAAACAAGCTTCTGAATTACTGCACACATATCCCAGACACTCCATGTATGCCATATATGCCTACATTGGGGTGGTTTGAGGGGTCAATGTAGGCATATATGGCATACATGGAGTGTCTGGGTATTACACTCTCACTGACCAACATGGTGGAAGTGGATTCCACGGTCCAGGGTCAGACCACTTCCTGACAACGAACACGGGGGTGAACTCCAATTCCATGTTTGTGAGTCGGAGGGTCTACAAAATCAAGTGTTGGACGTGGACAAAACAACGGAAACAACCTGCTCTGCGATGATGCACCTGCGATGGTGGCGCGTTCAAACGAAAAAACAAACATGTGATCCACAATGCTTTCTTCACCTCCAACTGGTCTTAGAGTTCCTTCCACTGATGGACGCCTACAGGCAGCCTCCAGGCAGCCTTTGCGGGGGCCAGGAAGAGACATTAACTCCTCACGCTGTACGCTTTGGAGTTCTTCATCTCGAGAAATTGGCCCAATGTCACGTCCACCATCCACTCCTCACATAGACGTCGACCAGGGCACGTATGTCAAGTGTTCGTATATGTCATGTCTAATGGACCATGTTCAGGCCACAGTGCTAAAGCCCTAGAAATCCACATACCTTCTCAGAAGGTACTTGGGCCCTCCAAGCCTACATAAATAGTCTCCAATCACCTTCTCAGCTTCGGTATGTGGATCCCTAGGGAAGCAAAAGACCGGGCCAGCCATGTTCGGACGCGTCTCCCAAAGGTCGTACTTCACTCCGACGCATGGAAAAGCCGCTAGTCAAAGCTTAGGAATTCACATGGGATTCATGGTCTACTGTGACAAAGCTTGCCAAGAGCACGTCCGGCTTACGTGCAGCATGTCCTCCTGTTTGGAGCTTGGAGCTCGCCCGGGACCCCGAACAGCAAGGTGGCTCTCGAACTCAAGGAGGGCAGCAGCCAAGGAGCATCTGCACGAGCCAAGTATATAGCTTGCACGGAGCTACGGCGCGAATGGCGCGAATGGCGCTCGGTCGAGCGAACTGGTCTTCACGTCCCACGTCGAACGAACCGACTCGAGGGAGGAGGGCAACGAATGTACGAAGCAAAAGGATGAAGCCCTGAACATGATTTACAAAAGGAACCCATTGTAGGACCCACAGTCGCTCGTCTATACAATGCTTTACACTCCCGTTATTGGGTGGGTGGGGGAAGATGGCACGGCCCACACCTTACGGCTGGATGACCATGAATTCCGAAGACGATTTCCACGGGGGTGTTCACTTTCCTTGCTGAGATGTACTTTACTTTTCACTATAGCTAGGCAGGGTGACCAAGGTCGACCTCTTAAAGTCCTGGAGAACGGCATCCGAAACCCGACTCAATTCGGCGGATGTGATGTGAAGGGGCACGAATGTGCACTAGGTTCCATTAGATTCGATGTGGGTTCAATTCGATGTAGGTTCTCTCAAATTCGATGTAGCTTCTCTCAGTTTGATGTTTTTCTTCAACCTGAGGCTTCAATCTTTTCCCTGGGACTTCAAGTGGCCTCCTCTCACTTGAGCGACTGTAGGATGGGCCAGGAATAATCTTTCTAGCAGGTATGAGGACTGGGTGCTCAAGGATGGGACCATTACTGTACTAGGTCCCAAGTCTCCTAATGTCTCCGTTTCGTCACATCACTGTAGTCACAGGGAACTCCCTCCAAGGACGCAGCGGACGCAGCTGGCGATCAAGCATGAGCAGCTGGTCCTGTGTATACAATTAGAGTTACACTCCCTGGAACTAACATGGAAGTGGAGAATGGCCCCGTAAGGAAGACCATGAAATCCACTACAAACAGGTGGTTTTCCACTTCCATGTTAGTTTCAGGGAGTGCATCATGTTTTCCAGTTTTGATCTCTCATCTCTCTCTAACAAAATGTCTCGCACAGTAATGTTTGCACTTGGCGACCTGGGCAAAGGTTGCTTATGCATTTAACACAGACATTCAAAATCATTCATGGTGGTACAGTAGCTCAACCAACACCCACACAACCTACCAGTACCCTCTTCACAGACCTGATGTCTTCGGTTGCTCATCGAAATCCCACCCTGAAATCGACACCTCTCAAGACCACCAGCTATTGCTGGCCCTTGCCTTTGAGCTGCAGGTTGCACCCTTGACCTTCCAGGGGGGCACGTGTTTGATTCGGGCTTTTCAGGGTCGAGACCCGGTACTGGGCATTTGTTTTGCCGGCGTGTCCGCCCGTCGCAGGACGCCTTGAAGAATTGATTGCAGTGAAACTTTGGACATGAGTGTAAAATAGGGAGACCCCCAGCCCAAAGACCCGTAAAAAGGAACATAGACCAGTCATGACCAGTCTACAGTCTACCCATTGGTTGGAGACCTCCCACCCCCGCTGATTGGCATAACTGCCCTCGTGTTCCACTGGTCGCTGGTGCTTCATTCAGTCGAGTATCCTCAGTATCGTCCCTCAATTCCTCCCGCGACATCCAGCACGCCGGTCCACACGGAACTCCGGATACCCCCAACGACCCCCGGTCCCACCGCGCGGCACGCTGAACGCGGCACGCAAACGACCCGCACCCAGTAAGGCTGCCAGCACTTTCCGTAGCTGGCGACAGGCGAGCAATGCGTAGGACCTCAATCGCAGTGAAACGTCGGAAGAAATTACGGTGAGTTGAATAAAACCATGCGTGGGAAAGAACTGGTGTGCTGTTTATTGGGACTGGCTTGGACCTTCACGAGTGATTCACGATGTGAAAGAAAGAACATAATTGAGGACACATCCAACTATACCCTCTCTACAACCATAAATTGTGGATGGCCCATTCCATATTCTTCACGTCAATGATTGTTGGATTCAGTTTACTACCAAACATTCGATAGATGCACAGTGCGTCATCGTGTCTCAGACCACATATGCTCGGTCTGTGGTCTGACGTGCTTGGTCTGTCACACCGCGAGGTCAATGAAATTGACCAGCCCCCTAAATCTTCCAGACTTTGACACGCCCGTACCGTTGCGTTCGACACACTGCGGCCGCGTGGTCACTTCAATGCGTCTCTTTTGGCTTGGCTTTGCGATTCGCTCGGTGCCACGCGACCGTCCACGGGTCCGCGTGGGTCTCAAGGGATTCTAAAAAGCACCGCTGGGCTGGGTAGTTGAAGAGAGCGGAAGTCAGGCTACTGCCGAGTCTTGTGATGGCATAAATATGATCCAGAATTCACATCCTTGATCGTTGAGAGATCAGGCAGTTTGAGGGCTCGCGAATTGTATAATTTGTAGCATATGCTTGTGGGTTGCCTCTGCTACCCCATCCTGGGGGGCTACAGCAGCCCTACGGCCCCTGTATCCTCAGTCTGACTTTCAAAGGCTCGAACAATCATTCCCAAACCAACTAATTAAATGTAATTGCATATTAGATTTAGAATGATTTAGATGTGATCTTCAAGAAACTGACAGTATTTGGATCTTACTTCCTGAAACAATCATGAAAGTGGAAAATGGCCCCTGGGAAGACCATGTTCCTCTACAAACCTGGCATTGTTCACTTCCATGATTGTTGGAGGGAGAGCGAACATCATTGTTCATGACTCGTTGGACTCCAAGGAGTGGGATCTGTTGTAAAAAGTTATCTCCAATTCATTTCAGGAGTTCCATTCCGCGGGGAAGATCTGCTTCCGACCCGGTCCTTGAGTAGATCTGATCTGTTCCCGGAAAATTCCGGGCCAAAGCCTCGGATCTTCTCCGATCCCGGGGAATCAACAAAAAGGCATCACCATGTTCACCATGACTTGGATGTGCTTCAAGAACCAGGAAAAACATCCAGCAGTTCCCTGTCGGGGTGCTGAATGGAGGTTCATTAGGGGTACCCCTGTAACATCCATGGCCCCTGGATGGGACGAGCCACACCACCCAATCTGACTCCTGGATCAACAACCTTCCGATTTCCCATGCCAGGGGATTCACTCAGGTCTTAGGGGATTCACTCAGGTCTTTATTAAAAAAAAACATCACAAACAAACACCGCAACAATTTAAGGATGAACCGCCCCATGTTTTCTGAAACATTCACATTTCTCTAGGACGTCGTTTGTTGCGTTGTCTGGGGGGGAGCGGGGGTGATCCCCTCTCCGATTCATCCTCACTTCCCTCTCATCAGCAATTCCAGATTCCCTAGCGGGAGAGCCTCTGCACTTCGCCTCTTGGTCAAAGCTGCGCGCCACGCAGCGCATGCTGAGCGCAGCTCAGGTGCACAGAGCACAGCTTGGCGCCTGGCCGGCCGCCGGAAAGGAGCCGAGCTCGCGCGGCCACCAGGGAAATGGACAAAGAATCTGCTTGGCTCCAAAGTCTTAGCAAAGTTGGACCTTGGTCCCATCTTGGTTCATCTTGGTCCTCTAGAAAAGAGGCCCTTGATCGAAAGAACGCTTACTAGACATGGATGCCATGCTGTGAACGTTGTGTCCTTGTCGCAACGATCTTGGCTTCTAAGAGACATATTCTTGAACACTTGCTCTTGACATCTTTTGGGGAGTGCCGGTACTTCCTTGTCATGCCTTGATCAGAGTCATCCCGAGTAAGTAATATATATATATATTAATGTATAATGTCATATGTCTTGAGATGTTTTGAGTGCTTTCCTATGAGTATATCACGCGTTGCATCAATGTTACAAAATCAGTCCAATCCACCACAAAATGCAGCAGTTTCAACTCCTCTGTACTTTGCTGGCTGTCCTTCTAGCCTCCAAAAAGTTATTTGGGGGTTCCACAGCTCAAATTGGATTGTTCCTCAGATTGGTCTCATACTTGTCAGAAAACCTTGATGTCGGTTCACAGCATATGCTTTAGAACACTACAGGCCTTGCCCTGGCCCACAATCAGCCCTTTCATGATCCTAGTGGTCCATCCAACCGCTGGCGGATTGTTCTATGTACTTCAACGTACTTCTACGCTTCATGATGCCACATCTTGCAATTTACCGGGTCACTCACGATCTGAAACCTGCATCCACCAATATCCACTAACCATCTGGAAGGAGTGGAGCGGTGCGCGAGTCTGACGCTCCGATGTCTCATCTTCAAATGGAGACGTTGCTGTCCCACTGAACCCTTTGCAGCGACGGCGTTCAACCGCAGTGACCCACCCGCACATGGCTTTCTCCGGGCAAAACGTGTCTCATTAATCGTATAGTGTGGTGTTCAATCGATGACTAGAGCAAACTCCTTGCAAAAACAACAAATATGATCTTCAACAGTTTGGGTGAGTAGCCATCTCTGTCACTGGGCAACCAACAAGGGTAACAAGGGCATATCCAACTAATAAATCTTTACTTGTGGAGGAGAGGCTCTCTATGGCTCTCATGTGGTGCAACGACCCTGTACCCCAACGAAGCATTAGTGATGTGCGTGATGTGCCAGGCAAATCTAGGTCTTTCCGCAAATAGGGCAGGCGGCAATGCGTGTTTAACCTGAAGGTATGTTTCGGAGGTATGTTTCGGGGTATGTTGCAAGGTATGTTTAAAGTGCTTAGCAATGCATTTATGGAAGCAACCATCTAGAGAGTCACACGTGTTTGGCACCTTCGAAAGGGGTCTCCTCGCTGGAATACACGTATTCACTAATTACATGCTGGTGGTTCTTTCAGCGAGGACACCCCTTTCAAGATCCAGGTCCGTTGACCAAGTTGACCAAGTAACTCACTACTTCCAAAATCCTTGCAGAGTTCCTTCTGTGAGTTACTCTCCCGGGTATACTGACCCGGCGTTCACCACATGGGGGCTCCAGCCACAGCCACACATCGTGGCAACTAATGCCCTTGCCTACGGGGAGCCGAGGGGCAGCCTCTCGAGGCTCAGCAAGGAAAGGATGACATCTGAGCGAACACTCCCGGTTTCGCAGAAAAAATGGGTGCGTTCTGAGCCTAGCAGAGCATGATGCCAAGGGATGGGCATTACATGTTGAGACCAAAAGAGATAAGAACACATTGGAAAGCATGCATGAGTCATCTCAACATGTCCCAACATCGAATTGACAGGAGGATCCTTCTGGGCTGTAAACTGGTATGTTCATGAGTGCACAAGGTCGCGCTAAAGCCAAGAACATTGCCTTCAACATCTAAAATATAGTTTGCCCAGTCTGGCGTGCCCACGTGGATGCTTCCATCATTTCCTGGTTGAAGGAGGTCCCCAAAGCCCCAATTTGCAGTGTAAAACCTCTTAATATGAAGGGGTTCAGTAATCAACCGTCTAGTCTATACACCTGCTTGAACCTATCTCTGGAGCCCTCGGCTCCTGACTCCCGCCAAACGCCAGCAGTCGACATCAAGCGTGATAGGGACATTTCTTAAAGAATCCCGCCGGTCTCTGATGGCTTCACCGAAAACACGCCCCAGTCGGCCATTCAACTAGCGCATCTCAGCTTGACTGGAGTTGGTCATACCAAAACACTCACGAACATGACGTGAAGCAATCAGGTTATACTGGGTCAAACTGGATCTGTAAGGACTGTCAACTTTGTTCACTTCAAACTCCGCCACACAGATTCGACTCGGGATTCGTTTCTGGTCCGGAAACGTTTCCGGTGACATGTTCCGTCGGAGACCGATGTTGCCTGGGGTCAAAGCAGAGAAATGCGGGCGATGATTGAAGGCTCTGTGGCCTTGTCTCGGCCCTGTGAGAGGAGACCTCCCCTGCCGAGACTTTTGGGAGACTCATGACTCGTCGACGTGAGACCTGATGGGGTGGTGCTGGTGGAAAAACGCTCTGCCTGCTTCGTGACCGAACTCGTGACCGAACGACCTGGAGTCCCCTCCAGTGACTGAACGATGTGAGGAATCAAACCAGAAAGAACGTGAAAAGCGATTGGACACCTGCTGCCCATCAAAGAAAGGACTCCGAATCAATTTGATGGAATTTCGCTCACGGACAAAGGAAGCAAAACCGGTGAGCCGGTTTAGAGGGGATCCTGGGCTTGTTAGCTGGAGGGACGTTCCCTCGATGTCTGTGCCATAAGGAGTGACAGAATTTACAAAGTAAGGCATGGCGGCATGCCCGTTCTCCTCATCCTGTAGCATTTCAAGTCTACAAAAACCGTGGTTTGAATGAATTGGTTGCTTTCAAGCATACTTTCATGAAGCCAGTTTTAGAAGAGACCCCTGCGACTTCTGTCTAGGTTGTACGGTGTACTCTTCTTTGCCCCAAACACCCAAATCTACAGGCTGTCATTGAGTCAGGCACCCTGACGTATCCCAGGCACTTGGTGTTCTCCATACTCAAAGTACAGAAGATCACTATTGATATTATGGCTCTGTTGCTATTAGCTATCTGTTGCTGTTGCTCTTAATATCTCTTAATCCTCTTAATCTGTTGCTTGCACTTGTCTTCTGACTTGGTCTTCTTCTGTAATGTCCTTCTTTTTGTTTTTTGCCCATGTCATGTTGCACACCTCACAAATCACGTCAGAGGTAGGTCTCCTCGAAGCGATCGCCGCTGATGATGCATTGCCGCACGCGGCTGCGCCCACGAAAGGCACGGAGAGGTCGCCGATGAATCGCCACATCTCCGATAATTCACTGCTGGTGTCAGTTCTAAAACTCTTTGACTTGTAACATCATGTAAGCCACATTCATCATCATTCATCC